GGGAGCCTGATGTGGGGCTCGATCCCAGGACCCTGGGATCATGACCTGAGCCAAAGGCAGATGGTTAACGACTGAGCCACCCAGGCGCCCCTGGAAGATTTTAAAATCAGTTTCTCTTCAAATCATCTTCTTTCACACCACCTAATAAGCATCTTGATTCACCATGGCGTTAGCAGAGTAAAATGGGCGGTATCAAAGAGAACTATCCGGAAACATTTATTTCCAATTCAAAACGGACCTTTATATTGTGTTTGTCATAAATCTATGTATTCTTCTCTACCAGGGGACTATAAGTGCAAAGTAGAGCTTGCTTTGACATCGGATGGCAGGACAATAGTATTCTAGCACCCTTCTGTGGACATTCCATATGAACATACAAAACCTATCCCTTGGCCAGATCCTGTGCATAATAATGAAGAAACACATGACCAAGTGCTGAAAACCAGATTAGAAGAAAAAAATGAGCGATTTGAGCAAGGACCCATGATAGAAGAACTTAGCAAAATGTTCTTTACTACTAAGCACCATTGGTATCCTCATGGACAGTATCATAGACGTCATAGGAAACTGGATCCTCCAAAAGAGATGATACTGAGGTTTTCAGGAATCAAAAAGATGTTATCTTGGGGCGCCTGGGTGGCTCAGTCTTTAAGCGTCTGCCTTCAGCTCAGGTCAAGATTCCAGGATCCTGGGATCGAGCCCCACATCGGGTTCCCTGCTCCAAGGGAAGCCTGCTTCTCCCTCCCCTACTCCCCCTGCTTGTGCTCCCTCTCTTGCTGTGTCTCTGTCAGATAAATAAATAAAATCTTTAAAAAAAACCTATTATGGTATATCCATTTAAATATGCAGTTCTAAAGACAGAGAATAAAGAAGCTCTCTGAACTGATACGAGATGATCTCCAATATATACTGTTGTGTGTATCCAACTTTTTTTTTTTTTAAGATTTTATTTATTTATTTGAGAGAGAGAGAATGAGAGATAGAGAGCACGAGAGGGAAGAAGGTCAGAGGGAGAAGCAGACTCCCTGCTGAGCAGGGAGCCCGATGTGGGACTCGATCCCGGGACTCCAGGATCATGACCTGAGCTGAAGGCAGTCGCTTAACCAACTGAGCCACCCAGGCGCCCCAATATATACTGTTGTGTGAAAAATACAAGAATCAAAACCCAGTGTATGTCACCATTTAAGGTTTAAAAAAAAGTATATAGATATATATATATATTTGCCTGTATTCTTGATTACACTGGTTGTTTCTATAAAGGTAAATTAGGTAGAGAAATTTTTCACTTTTTGATTTTTGAATCATGAAAAATATTACTTAAAATAATAAATACGTATAGATATAGTATGTGCAAGGAAAAAAAAAAAAAAAACTAGAAGAAAATACACCAAAATGTCAGCAATGGTTGCTTCTAGAAATTGGAAGATGGATGGGGATGCATCAACTTTTCTGTATTTGCCTATCCATGTTTTATTACCATAAACCAATCAAACAAAACAGCATATTTAATAAACTACAAAGAGCATTCTTTTAAGTCTTAGCTTAAAAATCAAATATTTTGTTTCTATGAATTAGGAAACAGATCAAACCCCTTTGAAACAGTAATTTCTAACAAAAAAATTCCAACACACTGACAGTAGGCAAAGTAAACCTAACACAACACAACATTTAACACAATGTATTAGATGCAAACTATAACCTGCAAGTCTAATTTAATTTAGCCCTCTGGCTAGTTCTGTGAGGTCAGCAAGTTAGGAAAGCTTTCCATGGTTTTAAAGAGTTGTATTAAAAAAAAAAAAAACCCACAAAGAGGTATATGTGAAAGAGACCCTATATAGTCCACAAAGCCTAAAATATTTACTATCTGACCTTATATAGAAAATGTTTCCCACCCCTATATTAGAACATAATAAAATTAGGGCGCCTGGGTGGCTCATTCATTAAGCATCTGCCTTCAGCTCAGGTCATGATCCCAGGGTCCTGGGATCGAGCCCCGCATCAGGCTCCTTGCTGGGCAGGAAGTCTGCTTCTCCCTCTCCCACTCCCCCTGCTTGTGTTCCCTCTCTCGCTGTGTCTCTGTCAAATAAATAAATAAAATCTTTAAAAAGAAAAAAAAGAACATAATAAAACTATCTGAATAGTTACTTACGTTCATTAGAGGCTTTCAAACTACAGTTCCAGTAGAATATTAACTATTACCTTGTGAGGTAATTTAATGTTTTTATCTTACCTTGCTTTATTAAAATCTCTTTATGAATTACAAATTATGAAAAACAGTAAAAATTTAAAACTCAAAACAAAAAAATTCCTACTAAAAATTTAACTTACTTTTAGAATGGGTTTTTATATATTTTATTGCAACAAATCTTGCAAAATGATACATCAGATGAATAAACTTAGGACCACCAGGAGAAAGAAATAGGGACCCAACAACTTGAGGAAAGCTACTTCCACATTCCACCTATGAAAAAAAGAAATAAGATGATTTGAAGATCTTATCAATAATAACCTTCTAAGTAATAACCATAATTCCAGGGCACCCCAGTTGCACAGATGGTTAGGTATCTCTTGGGTTTCAGCTCAGGTCATGATCTCAGGGTCATGAGATCGAGTCCCACTTCTGGCTCTGTGCTCAGCACAAACTCTGCTTAAAATATCTCTCTCCCTCTTCCTCTCCTCCCCCTACCCCATGCCTCACACATGCTCTCTCCCAAATAAATAATAAATCTTTGGGTGCCTGGGTGGCTCAGTTGGTTAAGCGACTGCCTTCGGCTCAGGTCATGATCCTGGAGTCCCTGGATCGAGTCCCGCATCGGGCTCCCTGCTCAGCGGGGAGTCTGCTTCTCCCTCTGACCCTCCCCCCCTCTCATGTGCTTTCTCTCTCTCTCATTCTCTCTCTCAAATAAATAAAATCTTTTAAAAAATAAAATAAAATAAATAAATCTTTAAAAATAATAGTAATAATAATAGCCATAATTCCTATGTAGGATTATTCCATTTGAACCAGAAGTTGAATATTTGAATCTTTCTAAACTCTTGGTGGACTTGGTCACAAAAAAATAATTATAATAGGGGCGCCTGGGTGGCTCAGATGGTTAAGAGTCTGCCTTCGGCTCGGGTCATGATCCCAGGGTCCTGGATTGAGCCCCGCATCAGGCTTCTGGCTCAGCAGGGAGTCTGCTTCTCTCTCTCCCTCTGCCTCTCCCCCTGCTCATGCTCTCTCTCTCTGTATCCCTGTGTCTCAGATGAATAAATAAAATCTTTAAAAAATAATAATTATTATTATTATTATAATATAAAGCCACAATTATTGATACTATATGGGGACACAAGCTAAAGTATTCTATCATCAAAAAGTTTTCTTTAAACAAAAACTATACGGCGCCTGGGTGGCTCAGATGGTTAAGCGTCTGCCTTCGGCTCAGGTCATGATCCCAGGGTCCTGGGATCGAGTCCCGCATCAGGCTCCCTGCTCCTTGGGAGCCTGCTTCTCCCTCTGCCTCTCTCTCTCTCTGTCTCTCATGAATAAATAAATAAAATCTTTAAAAAAAAATAAAAAATAAAAAAAATAAACAAAAACTATGACATAAACTCCCAGGAACTCAGAAACCTATTTCCAATGCATTTTAGGCAGCAAAGATGGTTTCCTAGAAATACGCAGAATCCTAACCAAAAACCATCAAAAATATTATTGTAACAAATATTTCCTTGCTATTATACTGTTAGCATAAAAGCATTAAAAAGATTTCACCTCCAAAAAATTAATGTACGATTATACTTCAATAAAGCCAAAAATAAAATTTAATGTAGTTTTTAACTTAAGTTTACACCTTCCACAAAGAGAATACTTACAGAAATCTTTTTTAACCATTCATAGCAATGCTTCCGGAATTCAGTGTCACTCTTTTGGTCAAATGGAGGCCAACAAAGCCTTAAAAACAGATATAAAAGCATTAGAATTATGAATAAAAAAACTCAGCAAAATTTTTAACCATGAAACTTATGTCTTATACTAGAAACATTAATACTAAATGAACCAAGGCTAACATTTGTAGATTTCAACTAAAGAAGGACACCAACCTGTGAGAAATTGGGTCTTTTTCTTTATAAGTTACTATAAGGTTGAGTTCAGTTTACCACAAATCACCAGTGTATAATATGTTAAATGAAGGAATGAATCACCATTAAAATTACTACAAATCAGCTAAAGAAGACAACACTCTCAGTGGATTCACTGGACTAATGCAAAAAGATGGTATAAATAAATTAGTATGTTAAGCCTGGGAGGAAAAAAGAGAGAGAGAAACATAAATGGTTGCACAAGAAGAGCACAGAAGGAATGACATGAGAGCTTCGGACTCCTACAGATAACCCATATCATAGTCAGTGTGTGCTACTGTTTTGTGGATAGACAATATATAAAATTATTAAAAAGAAAAGTTTTGCCTCTGTTTTAGTCAAAAATAATAGACTTAAAATTTACCTATTGGGGCGCCTGGGTGGCTCAGTCATTAAGCGGCTGCCTTCGGCTCAGGTCATGATCCCAGGGTCCTGGGATCGAGCCCCGCATCGGGCTCTCTGCTCAGCGGGAAGCCTGCTTCTCCCTCTCCCACTCCCCCTGCTTGTGTTTCCTCTCTTAATGTGTCTCTCTTTGTCAAATAAATAAATAAAATCTTTAAAAAAAATTTACCTATTGTTTCCCCTGAAAAATTTTTATTCGGAGGCATAATTATTTGTTTAGGGCCCCATTTTTTAATATTTCTATGTCATAACATACATTCTATAGTCATATAAAAAATTAAGTATGCATGGAAAAAAAGGACTAAAAGGCTGGAATGTCAAGAGTGGTATTTTCTGGTTGGTGAGTTTAAGAGACACAATGAGAGAGGGAACACAAGCGGGGGAAGTGGGGGAGGGAGAAGCAGGCTTCCCGCGGAGCAGGGAGCCCGATGCGGGGCTCGATCCCAGGACCCTGGGACCATGACCTGAGCCGAAGGCAGACACTTAATGACTGAGCCACCCAGGCGTCTCTATTTACTTCCTTCTTTACATCTTTCTGTATTTTCTGAATTACTTAAAATGAACTGTATTTTGTTTATAATCAGAAAATGGGAAAAAAAGATTAGAAAATTGATTTTTATTTGGGCAGAGTAAGTCCTATAGCTTAATGATAGAGATTTCCAAAAAAGATGTTTTAAATATACATGTTCTCCTGGTCACTCATAGCTTTAACTGGACACAAAATATTAAGAATAAATTATCAAAAATAACAATGCCTAAACAATGCATTTACTTGTTGCTTTTGTTTTTTAAGATTTATTTATTTTTAGAGACAGCGCAAGTGGGGGGAAGGGCAGAGGGAGAAGGAAAGAATCCTCAAGCAGACCCTGTGCTTTTTTTTTTTAATTTGACAGAGGGAGAGAAGCGAGAGAGGGAACACAAGCAGGGGGAGTGGGAGAGGGAGAAGCAGGCTTCCTGTCGAGCAGGGAGCCCGATGCAGGGAGCCCAGTGCGGGGCTCAATCCCAGGACCCTGGGATCATGACCTGAGCCGAAGGCAGACGCTTAACGACTGAGCCACCCAAGCACCCCTGACCCTGTGCTTTTCTATTTAAGAGGATAATAGCACAATATAAATATTAAAACAAATGTTAACATTTTTTCTGGTGGTAGAAGCCCAAAATCACATGCAAAATAACTTGGAACCAAGGTTTAGTGGTATTCATGTTTTTATCTCCTTTGACTATTTAATATTCAACAGTATCTAACATTAGACTAAACTTAATAGGAATGATTTTCACCTACAGCACTTGACACTTCTATATATCACTGACAAAAATAATAAGGATTTAGAGCGCCTGGGTGGCTCAGATGGTTAAGCAACTGCCTTCGGCTCAGGTCATGATCCCAGAGTCCTGGGATCGAGTCCCGCATCAGGCTCCCTGCTCCTTGGGAGCCTGCTTCTCCCTCTGCCTCTCTCTCTCTCTCACGAATAAATAAATAAAATCTTTAAAAATAATAATAATAATAATAAGGATTTACAGACACCTAAAAAGTAAAAATAGACAAAACAAGTAACATTGCCTACAGGAAAAGGAGTAAGGTAGGGGGCAATCAGCAAAAAAACAAAAAAAAGTAATGCAAAACTACATAGATAGACTGGTACCAATTAACTGTTCTGCCTAATAATTGTGACTAAGAAGAACGTTAGGAATTAATTTTATAAAACAAAAGTCTTATCTATGAAATAATCAGTGATTTTAAAATATATGATTTTAAGATAAGTACCAAAGAAAAATCACTCAGATTTACAAAGGTTAAACACTAAATTTATAAGACTCAAGCCTGACTTTTGTGACATGCATTCATACTAGTGAAAGGCCAAAGTTGAAATTCTGGCTTATATCAGAGCATACTCCCTTTTCAAATTTGAGAATGACTACTTACAAAAAGGAAATAAAATAACTTGACTCACTTGAAAACTTCTTTAGTGACAGACTGGTCCAGCGTTTGAAACAAAAAATAAGAAACGATTTGAAAGGCATCACGGTTCAACTTGTCAAACATGTTCCTAGTAGTTTAAAAAGAAATAGAAGCAGGGAAAAAAAAAAAAGGAAAATGGTTAATAAAACTAAACAGCATCAAAAGCTGTGTAAGAGTTTAACACAAATTAGTATTTTTCATTCTCTTCAAGAGGTCAAAGCAAATTACTTTTTTATTCATGTACATTTTTATAAATCATTAAGAAAAACAATAAGCTTTTATTTTCTATTCCAATAATACTGATCAAATAGAAAACTGGAAGAACTTCCTTTATTGCAAAAATATTCTACAAAAAGAAAAGGAAAACCTAATTAGGTGGAGAGAAAACCATGGCCTATGATATGCTGAAGATGATACAAACCAACATTTACCAAATAACAATAAAAATAGCTACCAATAGTTTATCATTTCCCAGGTATTATTTTAAGCCTTTTACAGGCAATAACTCGTCTACTCTTCACCATAATCATGAAGTTAAATACTGTGCTAGCTGCTTTACTATGGATTAATTCTAATGGCATCAGATTGTACTTTAATTATTCTCATTATATAGGTGAGAAATTTTTAAATTTAGAGAGGTTAGATAATTTGCCAAAACTATCCAAAATCATGTAATTGGGAAGTGGAAGAGCAATGATTTGAAATATGTCATCTGACCCCAGAGTCCAGGGTCTTTACCATTTACATTCTAACCCCAGAACCACCCTTATATAATGTAATTCTACCAACTTTTTTAAAGTTTTGATTGTCCTGATTTTCCTAACTAATCAAGACAAGCCTAAAAAAATACAATTATGTTAAAAATAACAACAACAACAAACTAAACCTTATAAGAAATGCTACACAGCTATAAGGAATCAAGAGTTAACCCAAGGGCAGTATGGCAGCCACGGGCGAGAGTCATCAGCCACTGTTCTAAGAGGGATGTCCACTCCTCACACCCCTGTGTCTGGTAAGACAGAAAATTCAGGCTTGAGGGACTGCCAGAACCTGGAGGAGAGTTTTCTAAACTTCATCTACAGCAACAACCTGCTGATGAAAAGGATCCACCTCAAGATATCCCGTTCTGCTGCATGGCCCACCTGCAGGATTTTAAACTACACTTTGGCAATTCCCAAGGCAAAACAAGTCAAACTTGGCACAGAGTTATAGCCACCATTTTCCAAAGTCCTGGCAGTGAAGTATGAGTAGTAGTAGGGGAAATGGAAAAAAAAAAAAGCAATTTAAGTTCTCCGAATAAGTGAAAAGGGGATAAAAATGGAGCACATATCCCAAAAGAAGTTAAAGTTTACACTCAAGAAGGAAAAGAACCTGTCAAAGTTATCAGATAAAAAATTGTAACAGCCCTCCCCCATTACTCTAGTATAAAAAGGTCACCTGCATGGGTGCAAAACAGAATAGTTCACCACTAGAGTATTAAAAGAAGTTAAAAGCAAAAGAAGCAAATAACTATAAAGAAAAGATCTCAGAAGAAACTGAGGACATTATCAAAAAGAGCGGGGGGAAGCTCATTAGAACATAATAGAATATATCTAAGGATATTCTCTCAATGTGCTAATATAAAATATTTTTAATACTTAGAACAGAGATCTGAGATATTTCCATGTTCAGTACATTTTCAACAATTATCTGTAGGGATAGTTCATTTGGGTGATTCCTCATTTTCAGACTCTAAAAAGAAACTGGCTTAGGAGTTAGGCAATTACAAAAGGATCTGTGAGGCACTGGAATGCACAACAAAATATAGGGGAGTACTCCTCTGAACAGATAAAGCTTTGTTCTCGAGTTGAAAAAAAAAAAAGAGTTAAGATTAAAGTTCCCATGCTTATCCATAAGTCAAACAACTCTTGTCCTTGAAACATTTCTATTCCTCAACAAACACAAAGGAAGATCCTTCCTTATCATCTCTCAAGCCTGATATTTTTTCACATAGTATCCTGTTGTCTTCGCTTTGACACTTATTATAAGTGTCACACACATATAAGACATTTGTTGAAGGTCTGTTCATCCGCTAGACTGAAATTCTGCAAGGGGAAAGTTTATGTCTATTCTGTTCACCACTGTGTACCCAAATCATATATATGTGAATTTAAAAATCTAAAAAAGAATTAAGTAAATTTGACAATACATTCATGCCTGAAGCATTTTAAAGAGGACACCTGTTTCAAAATGATAGATCCCTCCCAACAACCCACTGAAATGACTCTAAGGGATAATCTATGACAGTGCTAGGGAGGAGGGAGCCGAGCACTTAACAGATTTTAACCAATTTTCAAAGGCAGAAAACAGACTGCAGTTGGAGAGAAAACTCAAGTTGCTAAACACTGGACAGAAGGATGCAGTGGCAATGGTAAGCATTCTCAGTGGAAGCCTGGAGAAGCTTCAAGTTTCTCTGCCAGTACAGAGAAAATGAAACTATACTGAGGGGAATTAAATGATGTGAAATAACTGGACTATTTATTAATACATAATTATAACTTTATAAATGCTATCCACTGGTTGTCAATTTTTAGAATAGGCTTCTAGACAAAGCACTTCTACATGTAAATAATAATAACTTCTAAACAAATAGTTAACTAGTAAAGATTATGGCTCTAACCTTTGACAGTAAAACAGCACACATTTGAAAAAAGTCAAGAAGAAGGCAGGGGAGGGCAGGGAAGTGCAGGTGAGCTAATGAATTATCTTATAAATAACAACTACTTTTATTATGAAATTACATAGTTGGGAATGACGAGATCCTTTGACACTGATACATCAAGAAATAGACGTCTAAGCACGTTATTAGAACAGTGCTGCTGGAAGAACTGAAATAACAATCAGAAAAGTCAAAAGAGGGAGAACAGGAAATAGCCTATGTATCTCAAATTTCTCTTGGGCTATAGTGGGAAAGATAATACTCCCTAAGTTGATAAGTTTAGATTCATAAGTACATACAAAGTATCTAAATTTATGATCATAACTATTATATTAGTGACAAACCAGGAAGCGATTTTTACTTTCCATCTTAATACCCTTTTCTGCTATTTTTTTCTGAACTACGGAATGGCTCAGTTTGCTAATTCAAAAAGTAAAAATTGTAGAGAACCACCACCTTGAAAGGCTCTTTGAGTCCTAAAGCCGTTGAACATACTGTTCTCACATCCTTCCACGACCAACTCGCCATCCCTCCCTGGACATCACAGACCACCCAGCATCACCACTAAAGGATTAAGCTGTCCCTCCAGGGGCGCCTGGGTGGCTCAGTCGTTGGGCGTCTGCCTTCGGCTCAGGTCATGATCCCAGAATCCTGGGATCGAGCCCCGCATCGGGGTCCCTGCTCCGAGGGAAGCCTGCTTCTCCCTCTCCCATTCCCCCTGCTTGTGTTCCCTCTCTCGCTGTGTCCCTCTCTGTGTCAAATAAATAAATAAAATCTTAAAAAAAAAAAAAAAGCTGCCCCTCCAGTCTTGCCCGAATTGCAGACGCGACCCCCTTACAAAGCGTTCCTGGCACGGTTCCGTGATTGATAGTTTCTGCCACCAGGTTGGCAGCCACAAGGAGCAAGGGCTTTGTAGCCAGTGCTGGCACACAATAACCGTTGGACTACTTGATTCATAACCCTGCGAGGTTCGCGAAAGGGTGGGTCACAGCAGCGCGTCCCCGCTCGGATTCCCCCGCCCCAGCAGCCCCGGTTCCTTACACTCCGAGGTGTGTGTGCGACACGATCTTTCCGCAGGCAATGGTGGCCGGGCCTGGCTCGAAACCGAGCGCCTGCAGATACATCCAGAGATGCTCCTTCTCGAAAGAGGTGACCCAGATCGAGCTCATCTTCGCTGTTAGGCAGTATCACTGCAAAGGAAGTAAGCACAGGCCCAAACGACTCAGAAGGCCTTCAGGCTCCCTCCCTACGGGCAGCCTGAGGTAGCGGCGGCCCCTCCATTGCCACCACCTGTTCCTCTCTCGCCCGCAGCCATGTCGCCTCAAACGGCCATAAAGTCTCAGGGAAACGGAGCCTTTAACGGTACAGCTGCCTAAGCGAGGCCTACAAAAAACAAGACTCCCGCGCTTCCGGAAAAGCGGTAAGCGCTGGCGCTGCCTGGCTTCCGGTGGAGGAGGGACTTCTGCGGCGGACTATATTTCCCGCCATGCAATGCACCCTGTTCTCCACCTCTTCCCGTCAGGCCCAGCCGAAAAACTACAAAACCCACAGTGCATTGCGTTGCCAGCAAACTCTTTTGCGCTTGCGTAACTTCAAGAGCTATCTCGCTAGAGCCCCCTGATTTCGCGCTTTCTGACGTCTTGTGTCTGTGGTTCCTTGTGCTCCTATAGGTCGATTTCGTCAGATTAAAAAAATGTAGCTTTAGGGCTGTGGCTCGGTGTAGTAGAAAAAGCATTGCGTTCCATCCTAACCTATCTTAGTAGCTGTGAGATGTAACGACATCTAACCACTAAGCCCCAGGTCTGTTATTAGTGAAATCTTGTATGCCCTCAAATGCTGAATGTTCCTTTCATCTTCATGCTGTAAGTATATGGCTCTCCCCTAAGCAAACAGCTTCCCCCTGCAGCCCTCTCCACTGACGACTGTCTTCTCTCTCGCACCCTGGAAATGGGGTGGGTAGCCTACTCATTTCTCACTGCCACTTCTGGCAATTACTGCTTCCCTAAAACCAGCTCCTTTGAATTTTATGTTTTCACCCATAACTCTTGCTTTTGGAGGTTATGTATTAAGATTTGGTGCTGGACCTCATTTTCAGAAGATCTAGACTTAATTGTTTCTCCACCGTTCCTTTTAGGGTAATTTTTGGTGATTTCCATATCTATAGGTGACCTTTCAGTGCCCTGGCCTCTCAGTTCCTCCACCTCTTCTCAGCTCTCTGGCCCCTTTCTCTCCTTGCCAGATTTATCTGGCAGAACCCAAATCCCTATTAAATCCAGTTTTCTGCCTACCCCACACGTGCAACTTAGCCCCTAAACACGATCATGATGCCTGTTGTCATTCAAAATTCATGACACATGGGATCTTAGGCCTGACCTCTCCACCCTGTTTTTCCTAAATTTCACTCTCCGTACAATTATACATCTTTTCTTCCCTTACTCCAACACTTCTTTCCCCTCCTCTCAGTGTCTTTTGTCCTAGTTAATAGATGCTTCCAGAAAAAACCTTCTACCAACAATTTACCAACCTGCCTATGTCTTTGCCCATATAGTCTTCCTTCTCTCTTATAATGTAGCTGAATCAAGATGTGCCTCCCTAAGATTAGTCCTTTGACTTATTCGATGGGTCATATTCCTTTTCTCCTACTCAAAGAGTTTGCTCCAGCGTTTGTCCTTTATTCTCCCCTGCATCACCAATTCTTCCCATAAATATACAAACATGCTATGCTATCTTCCATTGTTTAAAGAAAAATAATTCCTTTGACCCCAATGCCTTCTAGCTACTATTCCATTTCTTATTACAGAAAAATTTCTCCCGGGATGCCTGGGTGACTCAGTCAGTTAAGCATCTGCCTTTGGCTCAAGTCATAATCTCAGAGTCCTGGGATAGAGCCCTGCAAGGAGGCGGGGCGGGGGGAGTCTTCTTGCTCAGCAGGGAGCCTCCTTCTCCCTCTGCCTGCCTTTACCCCTGCTTGTGCGCGCTCTCTCTCTCTCTCTCTGACAAATAAATAAATAAAATCTTAAAAAAAAAATGTTCTCGCAAAAGTTTTCTATACCCACCTCACCACTAATAGTAACTTGCCAAGTCCACTTATATCAATTAGTTTCTTTAGTTGCAAGCAGCAAAACTGCCTCTGAGGGGGCTTTATTCGATGGGTATTAAGTAGCATAAATAAAGAATGCAAAGGCCAGAGAATAAGGTTCAGAAAATGGCAAATTCATGTGCCACTCCACTCAGATTTATATGCCAGCAATCTCATTTACATTTTTAAAAATAGCTTAATATATTATTCTAGGTGAATGCCCTTATAACTACCACCAAGGACAAAAAATAAAACTTTTCCAGCCATCCCAGAAACCACTCCTTTCCCAAGAAAAGAACCACCATTCTCACTTTTATAGTAATCACTTCTTTGCATTGTCTTATAGTTTCACCACTTAAATATGCTTCTCTAGACACTATATTTCAGTCTTACCCTTTTTATACTTGCCTTGCCTCCTTCTTCATTTTTTTTTCAGTCTTTCCCAGATTTGTTTTTTTTTAATAATATCACTTAATATACAGGCTTTCCTCCATCCTCCCTTACTCCTTTTTTTTTTTCTTACATCTTTTCTATTGAGGAACTGGGGCTGTTTGACCTGAATAATATCCCTTAGTCTGGGTTTTACTGATTGCATCTTTGCTGCAGTTCAACATGTTCTTCTGTCTCTGTCCTCTGTATTTCCTCCAAATTGGCACCTGGATCTAGAGGATTGATGAGATTCAGGTATGATCCCTTTGGCAAGTCGAGGTGATGGTTGGTGTATGTTGTTTCATCAGGCTGCACATAGCTTTATTTATGCCATTGACAGGCATTGATGCTAAATGCCTAGATCTGTTAATTTACTGGGGATTGCAAAATGTCAAAATTTTAATTTAATATTTGTTAGGAACTGAATGTGGGTGCCTCCCTCCCCCCAATTCCTATGTTGAAACCCTACTCCTCAATGTGATGGTATTAGAAGGTAGGGCTTTTGGAAATTAATTAGGATTAGATGAGGTCATAAGCATGGAACCCTCCTGAACAGGATTAATACCCTTACAAGAGTCACAGGAGAGCTTCCTTACTCTCTGCTCTTTCGTCTCTGTATTTGAGGATACAAAGGGAAGTGAATTCTGCAAACTTGAAGGGTCTTCACCAAAACCCAACCAGGCTGACACCCTGATCACAAACTTCCAGCCTCCAGAACTGTGAGAAATACATGTTTGTTGTGTAAATCACTCAGTCTAAGGTAATTTATTATAGCAGTCCAAACTGACCAAGATATCATTTCTTTTTCTTCTGTTAGTAGCAATGTTTTTATGATAGAAATTTTCCCTCATTTACTATTTTATCTAGTGGTAAAGATATAAGGAAAAATAGGACACCTGGGTGGCATAGTCAGTTGGGAGTCCAACTCTTGGTTTCTGCTCAGGTCTGATCTCAGTGTCGGGCTGCACACTCAGTGTGGAGTCTGCTTGGGACTCTTTGTCTCACTCTCTGCCCCTCGCATCCTCTCCAAAATAAATAAATAAAATCTTACTATATATATATATATAAAGAAGGACAAATTGTTGATTCTTTCCCTTTATTTAACAGTTAACAGGGTTTGCTGTCATCCCCTGAAGGTGACCAATTAAATTGTTTATATGTATAATGATATATTTGGACGTTTAAGGGGGGTTTAATCTATTGCAATTATTATCCTTATAGAGGTTCAAGTTGTCCTATCTCTAGACAATGGGAAACTCTTCAAATTGGTTTTCTTGTCATCTGGAATAGCAAGAGATTCAAGGATCATCTTGTATATTTTCTGCCTCAAACCTGTAACCAGCCATTTCTCCAAGAAGCCCTAATTTCTTTAGTGGGAAAAGGCATTTCAAAACTACTATTTGGACACTAGGGATGCTCACAACTACTGGGTCAACCATTGTTTCTACAATTTATTTAATACTTATTTAACACTATTCTGTGCCAGGCATTGCTCAAAGCTTTTCACAAATGTTGTTTATTCTTCATAACAAACCCTACTATTATACCCGTTTTACAGATGAGGAAGCAGAGGTACAGGGAAATTAAGTAACTTGTTTAAAGTCACACAACTAGTAAGTGGCAGAGCCAAGATTAGAACCCACAGTCTTTACTCACTGTGATATACTTCTCCTAGTTGACCTATTTTCAATCAGATGCCCACCCCTAGACTAGGAGAAACAAACAAATAAAAAAAAAAACCTAACCTGCAGACCTACTGAGACACCCCCATCCTGGGAGGCCAAAAATAAAAACAAAAGTGTCCACTACATCAGTATTAAAAAAAAATCATTCTGATTCAAGATTATACAGCATAATTTTTATTATAGGCATTTCAATGATTAAATTTTGAAGAATTACATGAAATTACATATGCTGCAGAACTAGGATCTCTTACAAACGTTTAGACCAATTGGAGTTTCATTACAATTAACACCAAGTAGCCAAAAAAAAGATTGTAACCCACAAGAGATTAATCCCCAAAGCCTCAGGAATAAACACATGAGCAAGCATGAAGTTTAATGTGACACGAATTGTGTATTCAGCCAAAAGGAGTGTTTTCCTGTTAGTTATTCAGCGTTTTGCCCTGAGAGGACTCAGAGCCATTAGCATGTGAGTGATCTGATCCATCCTCTTCTTCCAAAGCTATAATATCTGGAATTTCATCAGTCTCAGATGTCAAGTCTATGGCAGTGAAATCAAATACCTGAAAAAGAAGAATCTTGGATATTAAAGCAAACACTAATGAAGTGCGCTGTCAGGTCCAGCTCATGGAGACACGACTGCATGTGAGTGAACCTTACTTTCTCCATAGACGTGCTTTCTGACAAGGTGTTTATAGTCTTATTCCCACAATTCACTCATACTATAAAAGCACTAGGGAAACTTCTCTTTGAAAGGAAACTAACTAGTGTGGAACCTACCAAATGAAAGCTTTTTTTTTTTTTTTAAGATTGTATTTATTTATTTGAAAGAGAGAGATACAGCAAGAGAGGGAACACAAACGGGGGAGTGGGGGAGGGAGAAGTAGGCTTCCCGCAGAGCAGGGAGCCCAATGCAGGGCTCCATCCCAGACCCTGGGACCATGACCCAAGCTGAAGGCAGACGCTTAACGGCTGAGCCCCCCAGGCGCCCCTGAAAGCTTTTTGAAAATACAAAATATCAAGCCTTTCTGGTTATTCATCTATTAATCTACTATTCTATTAAAAAAAGTAATGCTCCACTGTTCTGAAAGGTCTGACTTACAAACATAAACCCTTTGGGAAATGTCTAGGAACTGAGGAAGGAAAAGGTCTT